AAAAAGTAATTAATTACTAAATTGGTGATTTAAATATCTGCCCCTCCATTTAACTTTTTATTCCGCATATATTCCTACATACTTGAAAATTTCACTAAGGCCAAAATGATAAGGCACTGTGAAACACAATGAACACAGTGAAAGGACGAGAATTAGGATCTGCTCAGGTTGCAAAAAATAAATAAGACTTGGTTCCAGCTCCTAGGAAACCTACAGTTATAAAAGGAAACTAAAACATTAAACAAAGGGAAACTAAAACATTAAACAATCAACTACCAACTATAAAATTCCATACAGAAAATGATATGTATCCTAAAAGAGGTATAATTAAAATCAAACTAGTTGTTGCTAAGATAGGTAAACTCATTTTGCAAAGCAAATTTAACTCTAAAAAAATGTTAATGGCAGCCAAGCACGGTGGCTCACGCCTGTAATCCCAACACTTTGAGAGGCCGAGGTGAGCGGATTATCTGAGGTCAGGAGTTCAAGACCAGCCTGGCCAACATGCTGAAACGCTGTCTCTATTAAAAATAACAAAAATTAGCTGGGCAGGTGGCGGGCTCCTGTAATCTCAGCAACTCAGGAGGCTGAGGCAGGAGATTCGCTTGAACCCAGGAGAAGGAGGTTGCAGTGAGCCGAGATCACACCATTGCACTCCAGCCTGGGTAACAAGAGTGAAACTCCGTCTCAAAAAAAAATACTAATGGCTAACATATATTGAAATATAATAATTACAGTACAATACCCACCAGGTATAGTACTGTAATTTACATGCATTATCTTATTTAATCATCTAATTCTTACAACACCCCTATGAAAATGTTTCTATTATTATCTTTATTTAAGAGAAGAAGAAACTGAGAAAAACAGCTAGAGGCTTTTGAACTAGATACTCTATCCAAAAGGTGTTCCTTTCCCATCCAAAGATAGGATGGGGGATGGGGGAGACAGAGAGTGTAAGTCCTCACATGGTCTAGAACTATGCTGTCCAATATGGTAGACCCAGACACAATGTGGCTATTGAGCATTTGAAATGTGGCTGGTCCTAATGGAGATGTGCTGCAGATATAAAATACACACTGGGTTTCAAAAATTTAGTACCAGGCCAGGCATGGTGGCTCACACCTGTAATCCCAACACTTTGGGAGGCCGAGTCGGGCAGATGGCCTGAAGTCAGGAGTTCGAGACCAGCCTGGTCAACATAGTGAAACCCCCTCTCTCCTAAAAATACAAAAATTAGCCAGGTGTGATGGTGGGCACCTGTAATCCCAGCTACTCAGGAGGCTGAGGCAGGAAAATTGCTTGAACCCAGGAGGTGGAGGTTGCAGTGAGCCAAGATCATGCCATTTCACTCCAGCCTGGGCAACAGAGCGAGACTCCATCTCAAAAAAAAAAAAAAAAAAAAATTACTACCAAAAAAAGTTTATCTCATTAATCATTTTATATTGATTACATGTTGAACTGATACATTGGGTTAAAAATGCATGTTACACAATTAATTTCCCCATTTTATTTTGCTTTGTTTTATTTTTTTAATGTGGCTACTAGAAAATTTAAAATTACATCTATGGCTTGCATTATATTTCTACTGAACAGTGCTGGCCTAAAGTGCTGATAAAGGAAAAGTATCAACTAAAGAATAAATACGAGGCCGGGCACAGTGGCTCATGCCTGTAAGTGGGAGGCCAAGGCGGGTAGATCACCTGAGGTCAGGAGTTTGAGACCAGCCTGGCCAACATGGCAAAATCCCATCTCTACTAAAAACACAAAAATTAGCCGGGCACGGTGGCACACCCCTGTAGTCCCAGCTACTCGGGAGGCTGAGGCAGGAGAATCGCTTCAACCTGAGAGGTGGAGGTTCCACTGAGCCAAGAATCCTGCCCCTCAAACTGGTGGAGTATAGATAACTCTCCACCTCTTAAGTGAAGGCTGCACATACTGATTTCCTCCCAAAGATAAAAGGCCAGGGAAAAAGAGTTAACTTCACAGTGAAAACACCTGACAAACACCACCTCAGGCATGTGATGAGGCTTAACATCACTAGTGATAATCATCAGTGATAAATACGTTAACAGCACATTCCCTTGACATTACAAGATGAGACTGGCCCTTTACCTCTATGACCTTTCCCTCAAAAATCCATAACCCCAGTCTAATTATAAGAAAAACATTCAGGCCGGGGACGGTGGCTCACGCCTGTAAATCCCAGCACTTTGGGAGGCCGAGGCGGTTGGATCACGAGGTCAGGAGATGGAGACCATCTTGGCTAACATGGTGAAAATCCATCTCTACTAAAAATACAAAAAATTAGCCAGGAGTGGTGGCACGCACTTACAGTCCCAGCTACTCGGGAGGCTGAGGCAGGAGAATCACTTGACCCTGGGAGGCGGAGGTTGCAGTGAGCCGAGATTGTGCCACTGCATTCCAGTCTGGATGACAGAGGGAGAACCCTTCTCAAAAAAAATTCGACAACCCAAATTAAGACACTTTCTACAAAACCTACTACTCTACAAAACTGTCAAGGTCAGCAAAAGCAATGAAAGTCAGGAATTGTCAATCTAGAGAAGCCTAAGGAGACATGCAATGTGGCATCCTGGATGAGATCCTGGGACCGAAAAAGGATATTAGGTAAAAATTAAAGAAATTCAAATTAAGTATGAACTTCAGTTAATAATTATCTACACTGGCTCATTAGTTATGACATATGCATGATACTAACTAAGATCTTTTTTTTTTTTTTTTGAGATCGGAGTCTGGCTCTGTCGCCCGGGCTGAGGTGCAGTGGCCGGATCTCAGCTCAGGCAAGCTCCGGCCCCCCCGGTTTACGGCCATTCTTCCTTGCCCTCAGCCTCCCGAGTAGGGCTGGACTACAGGCGCCCGCCGCTCGCCCCGGCTAGTTTTTGTATTTTTTTGAGTAGGGAGACAGGGTTTCACCGTGTTCGCCAGGATGGTCTCGATCTTCCTGACCTCGTGAATCGGCCCGTTCTCGGCCTCCCAAAGTGCAGGGATTACAGGCTTGAGCCACCGCGCCCGGCCCGTAAGATCTTAATAATAGTTCAAACTGAGCAAAGGGTATGGAGAACTTACTGTACTATCTTTGCAATGTTTATGTAAACCTAAAATTTCTAAAATAAAAAATATTTAAAAAAAGAATTCCTCTGGTTTGAAGTCTGTCAAGTCTGCTGCAACTTGTATTCCCTGGCCCATGTTATCTATAACCTTGGTCACCTGGAAGCTTGTTAGCAATACAGAATCTCAGGCCCATCCCAGATGTACAGGCTTCTCAGAGAAATAACCCCAATTGGGTAGTTTGGGTAATAAAGTTTTGGCTTTCACAATAGAGGCTGGCCGACTCCAGACCCAAAACAGATGATGGTGCACATGCCTGGAGACCTATGGACCTATGGACCCAGGACCTATGGTGCAGATCAAGTCTGAGGACACTCTGCTGGAGAAGTCTCCCTTGCTTAGGGAAGAGAAGTGGGGAAGTCGGATTTTTTATTCTAGATAGGCCTTCAATTGATTGAATGAAGCCCACCCAGATTATGGAAGGGAGCCATCTTTACCCAAAGTTCAGTGATTTTAGTGTTAACCTCATCTAAAGACATCCAGGAAGTTAACACATAAAATTAACCATCACACCAGATCTGCCGAATCTGAATCTACATTTTAAAAGGATTTGCCAGGTGACTCTGCATAATCAAGTTTGAAAATGGCACTTTTCTACAACCCTTAGAGAGTAAAAAATCTACATGGTAATTCAGTAACTCAGAAACAAGGCTTGATTTGCTGCTTTAACTTGAGAACTTTCCTAGCATTTACCGATCTGGAACGCCTACAGAAATCCTCGCCCTCCCTTCTAGGTAAAGGACCCTTCCCTTTATTTCCACGTGGACCTCACTAAGCTTCTAACCTGGTTTACTGAATTAGTGGCTTGCGGGTCTTCCCTGTCTACACCAAACTCTCCGAGAGTATCTACATCTTATTTTCTACCTCCACAGAGATAGCCTTTATTAGCGGCTCCAGATCTGCCCTGCCAAGGCAAGCTGGGTTTTCTTAGTTTCACTTTCTCAGAGTCCGCAAATGCTAGCACAATCTATCCAAATTCTATCGTGGAGATATAATATGCACACATACATCAGAGGATTCCATAGGTCGAACCATATGAAACTACCTATGTTGATTATTTTTACCTATAAAACCAGCAACATCATAGGACACAACAAATTTCCATTGCTGTTTTCCCACCTCAAAGCTATTTTAGAGCCGGGAGCTGTGGCTCACGCCTGTAATCCCCGCACTTTGGGAGGCCGAGGATGATTGCTTGAGCCCAGGAGTTCGAAACCAAGCCTGGGCAATACAAGGAGACCTCGCCTCTACAAAAATAAAAACAAAATTAGCCATACGTGGTGGCATGCGCCTGTAGTCCCAGCTACTTGGGGGCGCTGAAGAGAATCGCTTGAGTCCAGGAGTTCGAGGTTGCGGTGAGCTGTGATTGCGCCACTGCATTCCAGCTTGGGCAACAGAGCAAGACCCTGTCTGTGGGGGGAAAAAAACTATTTTAGGGACAATATGCCGTCACAGTCACGGGGTAGATCGTACAAAGGTTGCTAACAATATGGCAACTGAGTGCTAACAACTGAATGTCAAATTATGAAATGCACACCACCCACTTCCCTAGTTCAGGCGAAGCCCTCCCCATAATTACGTGCAATTCTAGTCCCCACTGCCCGCCCGCAAGCTCCCACTCATCCTCCCTGAGGGAAAGGCGGCCCCTGCACTTTACAAGGGGGTGCAGGAGCGGGAGACTGTCGTCTGAACACCTGCTCCCCGGCAAGCGTAGACCGGCGGGACGAGCTCACTGCGCCAATCCTGCCAGAACTCCCGGAACTCCGCTTCCCTAGTCCAACCCACGCCACAGTTGCCCACACCTAAGATGGCGGCGGGGGCGGAGTCGGCGCGGCCACTTCTGGGCGGGACCGCGGGGACAAGACGTGGCCACAGGGCGGTGCCAACGTCCCCGCCCCGCCCGGTCCGGCCAGCTTGGCCCGGGGGCTTCGGGCTGTCGGGCCGCGGCGCCCTTCTCTGCCAGGTGGCGAGGACACCTGCTCCACGTAGGCGTCATGAGGTCCCCAGTTCGAGACCTGGCCCGGAACGATGGCGAGGAGAGTACGGATCGCACGCCTCTTCTGCCCGGCACCCCACGGGCCGAAGCCGGTAAGCGGCGGGGTCGTCCAGGGGCTTCGGGTGGGCGGCGGTCCTGGGGGCGGCGGTCTCTGGGCGGTCATGGCCCTGGTACCCGCACCTTGCGCTGGCGGGACCGGAGCTGCTCAGGCGCGAGGGGACATTAGGAGGGGAGCCAGTTCAGAGTCCCGCTCAGTTCCGCCTGCCTCAGTGCGCAGAAGCCCCTCGGGGACCCCAGGAGCCGCGACCGTGATCGCGGACCCGTCCTGGGGCCTTGGCGGGTGCAGCCCCACGGGGCGGGGGCAGGGAGCGGCTGCGCAGCAGGCGCTGAGCTGATAGTTATTTTGGGTAGTGCTGAGCAAGGGACCCAGTGGCAGAACGAACTGGAAGAGAACCATCAAATGAATGGGCTAAGGTCCGGGCGGAGGACCCCGGTATAAGAGCAAACTGGAGGAGAAACCTGCAGATCAGTAGGCAGAGGGCTGTCCTTCCCTGTCACCGCTAGGTTTCCGCCACTGCGTATCCGCCAGCATGTGACCTGGTAGCTTTTTAGGCGGGGAGGGAGACAAAAAAGGACTGGAGTTAACGTTTGTGAGTATGCAGAGGGCAATTATTGCATAACCCAGCGACTATTTGACGTTGTACAGTAAGAGACTAAAAACATCGAAAACATTTTTTTAAGTTAGGAAACAGTTCAGTTATCCTCAGGATACCTACAGAGTTCTAAGGTAATTTGCCAGAGGTCTTGGAACAAATCGAAAAGCAGTTACTTCATAAAGCATCTTCCCTGAATTTGAGAAAATTAAAATATTTTGCTATTTGACATTTTTGTAATATAGTTTATTTAAAAGTAAGGAAAACTAAAGAACAAATCAGTTTGAATGCATTCTATAGTTTCAAAGATCTGTGTGTAAGAAAGAGTTGCATTGGAAATTTGACTTTGGCTGACCCAGAATTGTATAGTTTTCTATACTTTTATTTGTTTTTAATGTTACCAGATGGTGGCAGTAGAGGTGGCAACATTATAGCTCCATCTGGCAGCTGGGAACTTATTTTAGTCAACACAAACTGTAAATACCATACCATAGTTAAGTTTTACCTGGCAGTCGGACTTAGTTCCATAAACTGATCATTTTCTGCGGCTTGTAGAGTTCAAATTGTATGATATTCCTCATAAAATAATATAGAAATACATAAATGAAAGTTATAATAAAGATATTTCCCAGAGACTATTACATTGTTACAATTGAAAAATAGGTATATGTATAATCAAAATTTAGCACAAATGTTAAACATTATTCTCAGGAAAATGCAGATTAAAACCACAACGAGGCACTGTACACCCACTAGAATAGCTAAAATCCAAAAGACTGAGAATACCAAATGTTGACAGAGAGGTGGATAGAAAAGTTATACATCTCAGTTAAGATTGAGATGGACAAATGTATAAATTTATCATGTAAATTATACTTCAATAAAGTTGATTTTTAAAAAGTAGCTCATAGCATCACTTTTAAAAACAATCGCTGCTTGATTCATGGGGTTGAGTATATACATCTTATGGTACTGGCCCTGTCCTTCCTGGCTTGAGGTGGCTACCTTTGTTATAACCATTTTCTTTTTTATTTTCCCTCTTTACATACCCACTGGAGAGCAAGTGAAGTGGAAATAGTAGTAACATACTGTTTTTGCTGTTTAGAGTATGATAAGAGTTTTATAGAGGAGGAGCATATATGGCAATTAAGAGAAGTATATAATGATCCCCCATGTAACCAGCACCCAGATTAAACAGTTATCAATTCATGGCCAGTCTTGCCGTATGCTCATACATACTGTGTATTTTGAAGCAAATCCCAGATACCATGTCATTTCATATGTAAATATTTCAATTGTTTACCTCTAAAAGATAAGGACTCTTTTTAACATAATTACAGTACCATTAGCACAGCAAATAAAAATAATAGTTACGCACTTTGGGAGGCCCAGGCGGGCAGATCACCTGAGGTCAGGAGATCGAGACCATCCTGGCTAACATGGTGAAACCCCATCTCTACTAAAAATACAAAAATTAGCCGGGCGAGGTGGCCAGCGCCTATAGTCCCAGCTACTCGGGAGGCTGAGGCAGGAGAATGGTGTGAACCCGGGAGGCGGAGCTTGCAGTGAGCTGAGATCACGCCACTGCACTCCAGCCTAGGGGAAAACAGTGAGACTTTGTCTCAAAAAATAATAATAAAATAACAATAATAATAATACTTACGAAATACTCAGTGTTCATATTTCCTCAATTATGTCCTGATTTTTTTTTTTTTTTTTTTTTTTTTTTTGAGACAGAGTCTTGCTCTGTCGCCCAGGCTGGCGTGCAGTGGTGTGATCTCGGGCAACCTCCGTCTCCCGGTTCAAGTGATTCTCCTGCCTCAACCTCCCGAGTAGCTGGGATTACAGGCCCACGCCACCACACTCTGCTATTTTTTGTATTTTTAGTAGAGACGGAGCTTCACCATGTTGGCAAGGCTGGTCTCTAACTCCTGACCTCAGGTAATCCACCCACTTTGGCCTCCCAAAGTGCTGGGATTACAGGCATGAGTCACCGGGCCCGGCCTATGTCCTAATTTTTTATAGTGTGTTCAAATCAGGATCTCAGTAATGTCCATACCTTCCAAATGATTGAAATGTTTTTTGTCTCTTTTAATCTGTTCCCCACCCCCTCCTTTTTTTTCCTTGCAATTTTATAGCCCTATGTTGTCCTTTAACATCTTCTGCCCTCCTGGTTTACTGTAAATTGGTAATTAGTAGATCTGAAGGTTTGATAGGATTATGAGTCTGTCTGTCTGAATTACTGTCATGAGTATTCCATAAGTAGAATGTGAAGTATAGAAAGCAAAATTGTGTCAGCATGCTAATTCTCCCATACACTGCTCTAGACACTGGAGATACAAAGAAGTAAACAAAACAGAACAAAAGCTCCTGCCCTTATAGACTTTTATGTTCTAGTGTATGTTTTCCTAAACCTTTAGCCCTCTGCATTTTGCTTTCTTCTTGGGTTATAATCAAAGTCCAACACTTTATTTTCTTTTCTTTTTTTTCAGGATCTCGCTCTGTTGCCCAGGCTGGAATGCAGTGGCACAAACAGGGCTTACTGCAGCCTCAACCTCCCAGGCTCAAGTGACCCTCCTACCTAAGCCTCCTGAAGAGCTGGGACTACAGGCATGTGCCACCATGCCTGGCTAATTTTTTTCTATCTTTTTGTAGAAACAAGGTCTCAGTTGCCCAGGCTGGTCTCAAACTCCTGGGCTCAAGCGATCCTCCTGCCCAGCCCAACACTTTGTTTTCTTGCCAAGACTCTCAATTCCCTTTCCCCCTGCTTTGTCATCACATCCATCTCAGTGCCAGCTATCTGTTTTCTTAGTGCCTACTCCTGAGCACAGGCATGCAGTGCTTATGAAGCTACACGCTAGGGCAGATTGTTCTCACCAATTCTGTCTGGGTATCTGCTCAGCATTCCTGTGTTTCACTGAGACCCTCATGACCCCACCCTCTTCAACAACTTCTTTCTTTTCCCAGATCCTAATTTCTCACAAATGAGAACTAACCTCAATTCCTAACAAATAACCTCAATTCCTAATTTCCAGGAAAAAAAAAAACATAATAATTCACAGTTACTCTGTGCCAAGCACTCTTCTAAGTATTTTATGTTACTAACTCAGTGAATCCTTATAATAACCCTAATACAGGCAAAATACTTGGACTAGTGCCAAGCATATAGAAAGTGCTTAGTAATATTTGTTTTTTGAGACAGTCTTATTCTGTTGCCCAGGCTGAAGTGCAGTGGCACAGTCACAGCTCACTGCAGCCTCAACTTCCCAGACTCAAGCCATCCTCCCACCTCAGCCTCCCAAGTAGCTGGGATTACAGGTGACAACACCACAACCAGCTAATTTGTAAATTTTTTTGTAGAGGTGGGGTTTCACCATGTTGCCCAGGCTACTCTTGAACTGCTGGGCTCAAGCAATCCTCCCCCATCTCAGCTTCCCAAAGGGCTGGGATTACGAGTGTGAGCAACCATGCCCAGCTTGCTTAATAAATATTATCTATTATTGGTCAGGTATGGTGGCTCACGCCTGTAATCCCAGCGCTTTGGTACACCAAGGTGGGCGGATTGCCTGACGTTGGGAGTTTGAGACCAGCCTGGCTAACATGGTGAAACCCCATCTCTACTAAAAATACAAAAATTAGCTGGGCATGGTGGTGCATGCCTGTAGTCCCAGCTACTCAGGAGGCTGAGGCAGGAGAATTGCTTGAACCTGGGAGATGGAGGTTTCAGTGAGCCAAGATCGTGCCACTGCACTCCAGCCTGGGAGACAAAGAAAGACTGCGTCTCAAAAAAAAAAAAAAAATTATGTATTATTTTATGTTATTAAACTTAATACCCACTATCCCACTCAATAGTGTTAGTTCTTAGAGTTACTACAGTACATAATCTAGATACTGCAGATCATTTAGAATGTTCTGCTCTCCGTATGTTTATCTGTCTCATTTCCATACCTCTGTACATGCTGGTGCCTTTGCTTGGATTGTTCCACCTGTCCCTACTGGTGACTTCCTGCTACTTGAAGAAGACTTCTCCAAGAGGCCTTCTCTGTCTCCACTGTCCCCTCCTGCAGATTAGTGTGCCTCTTTTGTTCCTTGTTATATAAATGTACATAGTACTTAGTCTTATTGGCATAACTTTCTCCAGATAAAAAGGAGGAAGAAATCCTTTTTACTAAGTGCTTGCTATAATGTTGTGCAGTATTTCATTTAATCCCCATGCAGCCCAGTGAGTAGATGGTAGTCTCCTCATTTTATAGCTGAGAAACCTGAGGATGAAAACTGTTAAGTAATTTCTACAAAAGCACATAGCCAGTGAAAATCAGAAACAGAGATTCATTCCCAGGTCCCACTCTAAATTAGCCTGTGTACTTTCAGTTATGCCCACACACATTCCTAAGTTTAAAACATATTTTAGAAGCTGATGTTTGTTTCAATGGGTGCCACGTTCCTTATGCAAGCACGATTTTGCTTTGAACTTGATGCTCAATGGGTGTTCTCTCTCGGTCATGCAAGCATACTTTTGTTGGATCAGTTTCAAAGATTATTCACATTCACAGGCATGTTTTTCTTTACTGCTATAACTTCTTGAAATAAAAATTTTCTGATTGAATTTATTTGTAATCAGCAACCATTTTATTAGCTAGTAATTGTTTATTTTTATTATTTCTTAGAATCTCATAGTAATATATTTTGTGACACCTAAGTTGACCTTTTATTTTCCTTTTTTTTTTTGAGACGAAGTCTTGCTCTTGTCCCCAGGCTGTAGTGCAATGGCATGATCTCGGCTCACTGCAACCTCCGCCTCCCAGGTTCAAGCGATTCTCCTGCCTCAGTCTCCCGAGTAGCTGGGATTATAGGTGTGTGCTACCACGCCCGGCTAATTTTTGTATTTTTAGTAGAGATGGGGTTTCACCACGTTGGCCAGGCTGGTCTACGAACTCCTGACCTCAGGTGATCCACCCACCTTGGCCTCCCAAAGTGCTGGGATTACAGGTGTGAGCCACCATGCCTCACCACTTTTTATTTTCTAGTTATTGACTATGCACCCAAAAGTTAAAGTTGCCTGATCTATAACTTGTAGGTCAGATATCCAAGTAATACCACTTGTAATTTGAAATCATTTTACTTACATTTCTTTCACTTCACAACCTTCTAGCCCCTTGTAATTCACATGATAAGGTATATCATAGTCCAAATAAAGTATCACTTAGGGAAAACTAATAACATACAGTAAAATAAGATAACTGCAAATAAGGATAGAATGGAGTAATAACATTACAAATTAGAATAGCATAAAATACAGTTTTTTAGAGTAAGAGAATTTCATCCTTCCCCTTCACTTACTCCCACATCTAACATTTGGGCAAGGCCTGTAAATTCTGCCTTTAAACATCTCAAATCTGCCCATTTTTCTTCACTGCTGCTTTCACTCTAGTTTAAGCCACCTTCATCTCTTACCTGGAAAGCTACAGTAGTCCCTTAAGTCATCTCCCTGACTCTATATTCCTCACACCCATTCACACTTCTCTCTGTAGTCTCCATGCAGGGACCAGATGAACTCTTTAAACCATCAACCGGATAAGCTCTTTAAACCATAAATCACATCTCGTCACTCCTTTGCTGAAATAGGTAATGATCTTTTTAAATACTGCATTGACAAAACAGACATAATATATAAATCTGGATTTTTCTTGCTCCAAATTGCTCAAAGTAACACATTTTAATGCACGAATTTAGCAAGATTTTGAGTCTCCCATCTAGACCTTTAGGTAATATCACCTGACACAGAGCAATGATAAAGAAAATGTGTTCTGCTGGGCATAGTGGCTCACGTCTATAATCCCAGTGCTTTGGGAGGCTGAGATGGGAGGATTGCTCAAGACCAGAAGTTCAAAACCAGCCTGGGCAAAATAGTGAGACCCTGACTCTACAAGTAAAAATTTAAAAATTAGATGTGCTGACACATGCCTTTAGTCCCAGCTACTCAAGAGGCTGAGGTGAGAGGATCACCTGAGCCCAGGGGTTCGAGGGTACAGAAAGATATGATCACCCACTGTACTCCAGCTTGGGCAACAGAGCAAGACCCTGTCTCTAAAAAAAAAAAAAAAAAAGGAAAAAAAAAAATTTTTTTTTTTTTTTTTCACAAAACATGCCTCACAATATCCAAATGTCATTAACTGGACAACTGCCCATTTGGTTGGAGCAGAAAGCAAATTCGCCTACATTCTAGTGATAGAAACAATGTGATTAGAACTTTAGAAATTCAGTTCTTACAGATCTGGATCTAACTATAATAGTGGTACCATAAATTTCATAGCTGTACCCCTGAAGAAAGGATTTAAGAATGCCAAATGAAAAGTTTTCTGTTAAAAGAAGTAAATCTTACACAGGGGAAAAAAATAATAACAGTTGTTAAATATAGGAGGGCATACAAAAAAGTGAGTAGGATCATAATATATTAATATAAACCTAAGTATAGTTGTGCATATTCATTAATGTTTCAGTCTAAATCAGTTCATCTGAGCCAGTATCAAGACTTTCATATTCTGTAAAATATATTCTCTCCTTTGATGCTAGGTTAATGAAAATACCAGGATTCTTAAGTAGGGGGAAAACGTACACACATTTGCATGATGTTGATGTGTCATTACCAAATAAAAGCACACATATTTTCATTTCATTTTAATTGTAATATGTCATTGCTTAATGAAATACACATTTATACCTTTAAAGAGATATTTATCAGCCACTCAGAGTTTACTAAATTTAAAGATGTTCAGACTCTGGATTAGCTAATTTCTCTTTGTTACTAAGAGGTTGCTTATCCTTAGTCAGCATCCTGAATCCCATCCCTCGCCAATTCTGAAACTCAGTAAAAGAAGAAAAAAGAGAAGCTATGCATAAGCCCACAGTTAGAGTGAAAAATAGGTCAAACTCCTCCTCTCACATGATCCTTTTATTGGTTCCTCCAACCTACTTTGCATTCCTGAGTCTCTGTCTCTGTCGCCCAGGGTGGACTGCAGTAGCGCGATCTCGGCTCACTGCAAGCTCCGCCTCCCGGGTTCACGCCATTCTCCTGCCTCAGCCTCCTGAGTAGCTGGGACTACAGGCGCCCGCGACCGCGCCCGGCTAATTTTTTGTATTTTTAGTAGAGAAAATTTTTAGTAGAGTTTCACCGTGTTAGCCAGGATGGTCTCGATCTCCTGACCTTGTGATCCACCCACCTCGGCCTCCCAAAGTGCTGGGATTACAGGCATAAGCCACTCACTGCGCCCGGCCTCCTTTTTTTTTTTTTTAATCATCGTGGTACATTGACTTATTTCCCTTTTTACTGTGAGCCCTTTAAGCTTGATAAATACTGAGCAACTGTCACAGATGCTGCAACTGTCATAGGTTCTGCAAGTTTGCTTCTAGATTCTTAAATGCATTTAGTTTATGATGGCTTTAAGTATTAATCATGGCTTCTGATTCAAACCCAGCCTTTGAGGATACTCTTCGAGGTAAGAAATTTATCAACAGAAATTTCATGCCCTACCCTTGGCGTTCATTTTTTTTTTTTGCTATGCTACACTTAACAATGAGATGGCTACTAACTCATAGTCAGTAATATATCATGTCGTTGTAAGTACTCAAGTACTTTTTGACCATGTTTCAGATAGTTTTTCAGGAATAGTAACGCCATTAAACCTCCTTACCTGCTTTTCTCATGCCGTATATTTTTGCCAGCTGACAACGAATAGGGGTTCAGTTTGAATCTGGAATAGATCTTTTTCTCAGCAAAGGTGATAAAACTAGTACCTCCATGTTTTAATGAACTTTCTTATAGTTCAGGCTCTCATGTGTGAAATTTTTACCAAAACTACAGATACGAGGAACAGTTAATCTTTGATAAATGTTTCTTGGATTTGCTTAATCTAAGAATATTCTTTAAAATTTTTTCTTAATTATTTTTGTACTTTTCAGAAGCAACCTTTTTCATTATTTAGACAATATCGTGTAATTAACTCTTTTAATTAAAGCAGCTGGGTGTGGTGGCCAATGCCTATAATCACAGCACTTTAGGAGGCTGAGGTGGGTGGATGGCTTGAGTCCAGGAGTTCAAGACCAGCCTGAACAACGTGGCAAAACCCTGTCTCTAAAAATAAAAATTTAAAAATAAATAAAAATTTTCCCCAATCTTTATTTCAGCTCCAGTGTGCTGCTCTGCTCGTTACAACTTAGCAATTTTGGCCTTTTTTGGTTTCTTCATTGTGTATGCATTACGTGTGAATCTGAGTGTTGCATTAGTGGATATGGTAGATTCAAATACAACTTTAGAAGATAATAGAACTTCCAAGGCGTGTCCAGAGCATTCTGCTCCCATAAAAGTTCATCATAATCAAACGGTAGGTGCTATTTTTTAAGGAAACAATTTTAATTATTCTAAAATACTTGCAAGTAAACATATTAAAAGGTCTTTTTTCATCCTACAGAAACCACACTTTGTTTATGTATAGTCTGAATTACTTTCTTTTTGTGTTTTCCCAGGAACTGATTGGGCAATAACTTGTAACTATAGCTACTACTGCTATGCCATAATACACCTTGATCTGTTTGAGAAGTAGTTCTTCCATTCCCTCTGTAAACATACCATGCTTGAAGAAAATTTGGAAAAACCTGTTTTATATAACAGAAAATTAAACTGTTTTAAATTTTCTAAATAGCTTTTATAGGAATATTATTTATAACCCTATATCACTTATACGGTTACAGCTACAAGAGAGTTTAGGTAATCTCAATTGCAAGATGAAAAATAAGAACTGGCCAGTTTCTTAGGACATTCTCTTCTGAATGTACACATGCCTAACCTAAGCTACATAAGTCATTTTGCCTGCCTTATGTTATAGTGGAATTGATCAATGTGTGTTCATCATTTGTTTATAATTAAGTTATATACACTTCATTTTATGTTGCTTATCACACAAGGAGATAGTACAGAAAGAAAAGCTAGTATTCTTTTTAGAAGCACATTTTCAGGCTGGGCACAGTGGCTCATGCCTGTAATCCCAGCACTTTGGGAGGCTGAGGCGGGTGGATCACCTGAGGTCAGGAGTTCAAGACCAGCCTGGCCAACATGGTGAAACCTTATCTCTACTAAAAATACAAAAATTAGCTGGGCGTGGTAGCACACACCTATAATCCCAGCTACTCAGGAGGCTGAGGCAGGAGAATTGCTTGAACCTGGGAGGTGGAGTTTGCAGTGAGCCAAGATCACGCCATTCCACTCCAGCCTGGGCAACAAGAGCAAGACTCCGTCTCAAAAAAAAAAAAAAAAGCATATATTTTCACCCATTTTAAGTGCTCACAAAGGTGCTAGTTCATACTTAGGTGAATCTCCTCTATCATTTACAAGCAGAGCATTCAAGCAGGAAAGAGGATTTCTCTCTAAACAAAATAAATCTCTCCAAAAATCTTTGTATATAACTTTAATAATGTTGCTGAGTAACATTTGGGTACACATCACTCACTTTCTCCACTCCAACCTGTGACCTTCAGGGACAACACTGCTGGACTGTACATGAAATCCTAGAATTCCACAGATAAACGTCTAATTGGTACCCTAAATAAGGGAAAGTATGAGTTTGCTTTGTGTCTTTTTTTTTTGCAAAGTGCTTTTGTTGACCCTGCTACTTATCTTCATCTGCCTGGTATCAACAGTAGAAAGAAATCCTGGAATGGCTCTTGACATGTTGGCTTGGTTATACAGCTACACTGCATTAAAGATGTCAGATACTCATATCAGTCACTAAATCTTCATTAGTACCTTACTATGTGCTGCTACTAATGAAAACACAGGTTCTACTCACATGAAGTTTGTGGCTTGATTTAAATTCTTGCTCTTTGGTATAGTTCCATATGCTTGTTTAAGTGCTTGGTCTGAAATGGGGAGATATTATTAATATCTATATGTATGCATGTTAATAGCCAGCATTAACTGTGCATCAAGTCTTATTTTATGTGCCTATTTCATTTCCTCTTCCCAGATCACACATTCGGTAAGTAGTAGGGCTAAGATGAAAACCAAGCCTGGTTCCCAAAGCCTAGCTCAGCCTCTACAGTTTTCTGTTTAATAGCTTTCTGGATTAAGCCTGTGACTCTTTTTTTGGGAGGGGGAGGCAGGGCTGGGGGGGACGGCAGCCTCCCAAGCCATAGTACGCTCAGAGACACCAAAGCCTTTTTTGTGATTCTTTTGTGAGCCTTCTTGGTCATAGTTATTACAAAGCTATCTGCAGCTCATCCTGCAGTCTAGTTTTATAAAATTGCAAGCCTTCTTGAAGTTTACAGCTGTCAGTTCTTTTTCATTCACTTCTAAATACTGTATGTCTATATTGTTATGACTCACCCACCTACTGGAAAGTTTGCATGTTCTTCAGTCCAAAATAGTGGTTCAAAATCTCATTTATATGTACTTGCATACCAGTAAGAGAAAAGAGCTGTTGCGTGAAGGTCTTAAAGGATTGTTTTATTCTCTTCTGATTTTTGTAGGGTAAGAAGTACCAATGGGATGCAGAAACTCAAGGATGGATTCTCGGTTCCTTTTTTTATGGCTATATCATCACACAGATTCCTGGAGGATATGTTGCCAGCAAAATAGGGGGGAAACTGCTGCTAGGATTTGGGATCCTTGGCACTGCTGTCCTCACCCTGTTCACTCCTATTGCTGCAGATTTAGGAGTTGGACCACTCATTGTACTCAGAGCACTAGAAGGACTAGGAGAGGTAATTGCCTTTTCTCTCTGGTTTTACTTCTTACCCTGTGTCTCCTTCTCTTCTTCTTAAAGATATCATTCTTTGGTATGAATATGAACCAAAAAATAACATTGGATGATAACAGGGGTTTATTTTTTAGAGAAAGGACTAACTAGAAAATTACCTGAATAGATTTTGTTTGTGGTAAATGAGGTATCTAGTAGGAGCACTCCAAAATTGGAAACTTTACTCAAAAACCAGAGAAAACGTTTTTCCAGAAGAGACTTCATAGGTCATACTTTAGGAGAGAAGAAAATAAACCACTAATAAATGGTTAAGATAGGTTGAGTGTGGTGGCTCATGCCTGTAGGCCGAGGTGGGCAGATCACTTGAGGTCAGGAGTTTGAGACCAGCCTGGCCAACATGGTGAAACCCTGTCTCTACTAAAAATAAAAAAATTAGCCAGGCATGGTGGTGCACACCTGTAATCGCAGCTACTCGGGAGGATGAAGTGGGAGAATCACTTGAACCTGGGAGGCAGAGGTTGCAGTGAGCCACGATCGCTCCACTGCACTCCAGCCTGGATGACAGCAAGTCTCCATCTCAAAAGAAGAAAAATGGTTAAGATTGGCCATCATTACCTCTTATACTCTTGCCACAGTTTAACTCTGTTCTATCATTGATGCCCAGGTCTGAAGCACATTTTACACAATAGACTGTTGAGTTGCATTGAATTTCTTTTTTATCACTTATTCTTTTATTTTTTCTGGTCTTGTAACTTAGAGACATATATTTTATATTTTATTATTTTATATAACTATCTCAATTTAGTTCTATGATTCTGCTGTTTTTAGAAGTATTATTAATTTTTACCTCTTTTATTTCCCTCCTCTTAATAGTTTTATCATTTTTAAAAATTTTGATTCTTGTCTTTCTTTTCTGTCCCACTTTTCTTTTGTATTATATCATGTGTACCCCCATACTGAATAATTTTCACTTTTCCTTTATAACTTTGAACTTCTACCTCTGAAACCCAGGGAAAGGTGTATTTTGATCTCTTGCATTTCTTTAATTCAAGCAAGATAATGGCCACTGGGCTTGGTGTAGAGCATGAAGATTATTTTAACTAGCAGCGTATCATGCTGTTGGAATAAACACTGGACCAGAGTTTGAATAATAGCTCTATTGTATCTAACAGTGAAACCTTAGGTAAGCTCTAATCTCTAGACCTCAGTTCCATCATTTTTTAAACTGGGACTAAAATACCTTCCCTGTTTTCAGTCACAGGATAGATATAAAATTCATATGGTGATAAGGATTGCTAGAATACTTTGGAAATTGCCAGGTACTACTTAAAGATGTTTCATTCATCTGAATGTTTTTATTTTGTTCTTATCAATAGAGATCTATTAAAGTAAACCCTTCCTGATCACAAAATTAAAATTACTCCTCTATTACCAGGTTCCTATTCTTCTTGACAAAGTAAAATATACTTAAATCTAGCATATTTTCTCTGATCCTAGTATTGAATCTCCTTGCTGAATGTATTCCCATATTTTACTTCCAGTTTATGCCACTAATTTAACATTACGGCATATTGATCATATTACTACTGTTATCTCAGGTAACATTTTATTTCCTTTTTTTTCTAGTTTTTGAGACGGAGTCTCGCTCTGTCGCCCAGGCTGGAGTGCAATGGCACGATCTCGGCTCACTGCAACCTCCGCCTCCCGAGTTCAAACAATTTTCTTTCCTCAGCCTCCCAAGTAGATGGGATTACAGGCACGTACCATCACGCCTGGCTAATTTTTGTATTTTTAGTAGAGACAGGGTTTCACCATATTGGCCAGGCTGGTCTCGAACTTCTGACATCAAGTGATCTGCCCGCCTCAGCCTCCCGAAGTGCTGGGATTACAGGCATGAGCCACCATGTCCAGCCAACAACTAAATAGAATTTAAGTTGTGTTTATACTCAGGTTCTCTCATCCTTCTTCATCCCTCCAGTATGTATCACAGATGCATTTCCTCATTCATAAAGGACACTTAGATTACTATCTTTCTTTCCTACCATCTGATTCACCATAAATATGCCTACATTGTCCCTAGGTTTTATAATAAAGTTTTCTACAACATAATCTCTGTGGGCATTTCCAGACATCTTAAGTTTTCTTCTATAATGACTCATCCTGTGGATGCTCCATGAGATAGATTCTTACTGATCTGCAATGTACCTAAGTCATCTTTGCCTTCCATTGGTATTACGTTTTTTAATTCCCTTTTGTTTGTTTGTTTTTGGTTTTGAAAGAGTCAGCAGAAAGTATAAAGTATTAAAACATTTATTCTTCTCTCCACTAATAATAGCACTAGCTACCATTTATTTTTACAACAATTATGCAACTGCCTTGAAGTTCAAGGAGGTTAACTAATCTTTCTGAAGTGACACAGAGTGTGTCCAAGGAGAGCTGTTCTCTCTCACTCTCCTGTGGTATCTCCTCATTTAACCAGTCTCTATGAAACTGCCTCTTTCCACATCTCATTAGCTCTCCGTGTCAGTAATTGGCATCTACTAGGCTCGTTATCGCAGGAAAAAAAAGAAAAAAGGCTGTAAACATGCTGATTTAATTCATCCTTTTTTTAATAGGACTGTTTTTCCAGTTAGTTGTCAACTTGAATTTTTTTTCAGTATCCCAAAGTATTAGCTCAGTATTTTTTAAAGTTGTAACTTAGTAATATTCCCTTTCATTCAGGTGATTAATAAAGTGAATGAATAAAATTAACCTTGAGCGTGATCCCTTTATGTCCTCACTCAGTAAAACTATTTTAGATTTATTGTAACCCTTATCTTGTCATCTTCAAACCAGTTCCAAAATCCATGGATCTTTGGGGAGTTTTACTTTTTTTTTTTTAAGAGATGGGGTCTCACTATGTTGCCCAGGCTGATCTCGAACTCCTGGGCTCAAGCAATCCTCCTGCCTTGGCCTCCCAAAGTGCTGGGATTATAGGCATGAGCCACCACACCCAGCCCTCAAATTCTGAAAGTATTTCATTTTAAGGTATTTTCACTTAACACTATAAAAATATCTCACTTCATGGAACCTGATTCTGGTTTTATTCTGATGCAGAAAATGCTTCTGTAGCAAAATACTTAACTTACATTAAAACATTAACAAAACTACCTTACATTTCATCAGAAATATCATGTTCCCTTCTCTCAGGGTGTTACATTTCCAGCCATGCATGCCATGTGGTCTTCTTGGGCTCCCCCTCTTGAAAGAAGCAAGCTTCTTAGCATTTCATATGCAGGTGAGATAACAATTATCAAACTTTGCTGTAACATGTTATGTATATATCAACCTTGGGGAAAAACTGCCTGCATACCAGAATGATGCAGTGTCGGATTGGATGCCCCTTTGGGGAGAACATTAAGTTTCGTTAGTACAACTTTATTACCAATTTTTCTCTTTGGCTCAAGAACTTATAGTAATGTGGCTTAATTGACTAATGTCATTTTCCCCATCTGCCATCATCTATTTCAAAGTATGTTGCCTTTTCAGATATTGGTATAAAGATGCTCTTTTTTTTTCTTTTTCTGTTTACTTTTTTGGGGTTTTTAAAATTTATTTTTGCTTGTTTAGAGATGCTTTTTAATAAAAAGGAAAAAAAAAAAAGGCCAGTAGCTAGAAAATTGAATGTTTTTGTCCTTAAATTGTGATTTCTGTTTTGGTTAACTAATGAATGTATCATGATTCTCAACCCCTCTCTTCATGTGTCTTTTTTCTATGCATCTTTATTTGCCATCATTTTGATCTACAGGTGAGATAAGATGAGTTTTATATATGTGAATTATAATTTTACCAGATTGCATAAGATATTCTAGCCTTTCTTTCATTGACTGAATTAAAATTTTTCCACCTGACAGCTTTTTAAATATAGTAGTTGAGAAAAGGCCTCTCTGTGGTACTTTTAAGCTAAAATCTGAAGGATAAGAACAAACCATTCATGCAGGGAGAAGAGCATTTCAGCCAATCAGAACAGCATGTACGAGGGCACTCAGGCAAGAAATAACATAAAGGTTTAAACAAATGGAAAACTACTTTGGGTCGCTAGAACTCAGTGAGTAAGGAGGATAATGGCATAAGATGAGGTTAGACAAAGAGATAAGAGTCGGGTTATATCAGGTCTTATAGACTACAGGAAAGAATGTAGATTGTTTTTTAAGAGGCATGATTCAATTACATTTTAAGAAGATTATTCTTGCAGCTATGTGGAGATTGATATGAGAAATCTGATGATAGGTTCAAGAACAGGTACTATCTAAGGTTCCCCTTTACCTATTGAATAAATCCCAAACTCTTTGCACTAAGGGCAAGATTCTTTACAGTCTTCACTGCTTTATTGCAGCTAGCCTTATATCTCTGGCAGATAGTGCCCAGCTTGGAGTAGGTACTCAGTAACTATTCCACTGTCAAAGTCCAACCTGTTTTTCCAGCTTTATCTTCTTTTTCTTTCCTTTACCCAAATGGAGTTCCCAAGCCTACTACTCTCTGCTTTCCTACTTCCATTCCTTTGCTTGTCCTGTTACACTACCTCTATATCTTTTTTCTAATCTTGTTTCTATGGGACCAAATGTTAGGCTTTTTTTTTTTTTTTTAGACAGGGTCTCACTCCAGGCTGGGGTGCAGTGGCACAGTTGCTGCTCACTGCAGCCTCAACAGCTGAAGCGATCCTCCCACCTCAGCCTCCCAAGTAGCTAAGTAGCTGGTACTACAGGCGTGCACCACCACCACGCCCAGATAATTTTTGTATTTTTAGTACAGATAGTAGTTTGCCATATTGCCCAGGCTGGTCTCAAACTCCTAGGCTCAGGTGATCCACCCGCGTCAGCCTCCTAAAGTTCAGGGATTACCAGCATGATCCACTGTGCCCAGCCTGTTACCCATCATCTGTAAGCAGTAGACCTGTCTGTCCTATCTTTGTTTCTCTCCAAAGTTTATAAAATAGTCTTATGTGTTGTTCTAGGAGCACAGCTTGGGACAGTAATTTCTCTTCCTCTTTCTGGAATAATTTGCTACTACATGAATTGGACTTATGTCTTCTACTTTTTTGGTAAGTTTAAAACTTTAGCTGAATTATAATGTAACAAATTCAAAATATAATAATAGTAGCCTAATAATGTGTTAAAAATATATCTTCCAAATTACGGTAACAGAGTTCTAAAACATTTCCTGATAACCTGTTTTTCAAGTTGGTATGGTTTACTTGACCTATTTGAATTATGACCTGATGTTTGTTTTGGAATATTTCTCAGTAGAAATGACTCTTGATCCTGGACTTAAATAGTACATTTGCTATCAAAAAAATCACTGTCTTGGGTATTTTAAGTTTCTTCTCAAGCAAAGTAGGATGTTCTCACTTGGTAGTTTTAATGTTTGTTTTTTTTTTCTTTTCTTTTTACTTAGTCCCAAGGCATTTTGTTTCTGTTTCCTTGGCAGCATGATACACATTTTTAATAAATTAGATTTTCACATAGACGTGTCATGCAAGAAATGTATCTGCAATCAAAATTTAAAAATCAACTAACAAAAACAGACGCCTTTGGAAATATGTAGACTGTGGAAATATATCTTCAAAAAGGTTTGTCTGGTAGACCCTGATAGGCAAAGTCATGAAGTTAAAAGTTGTTTTCTTCTGGCGGGGCGCAGTGGCTCACACCTGTAATCCCAGCACTTTGGGAGGCCAAGGTGGGTGGATCATGAGGTCAAGCAGTTCAAGACCAGCCTGGCCAACATGGTGGAACCCCGTCTCTACTCAAAATACAAAAATTAGCCGGGTGTGGTGGCATGTGCCTATAGTCCCAGCTACTCAGGAGGCTGAGACAGTAGAGTTGCTTGAACCCGGCAGGCAGAGATGGCAGTGAGCTGAGATCACGTCACTGCACTCCAGCGTGTGCGACAGAGCAAAGACTCTATCTCCAAAAAAAAAAAAGTTGTTTTCTTCAAAATGTATAAGCAATAATACAGTTATAGCAATTATCCCATTAAACTGAATCCAAACTGAAGTCAGTTTTACATTGAATTTATAGTTACATAATTTTTCAAGACATACAAAAATTGTTGTTGGTGCATTCTAATTTTGTGTTTTTGTTTTGTTTTGTTTTTTATTTGGTACATTCTAATTTTATCTAACTATTATTTTTCTATTTTAAGGTACTATTGGAATATTTTGGTTTCTTTTGTGGATCTGGTTAGTTAGTGACACACCACAAAAACACAAGAGAATTACCCATTGTGAAAAGGAATACATTCTTTCATCATTAAGAAATCAGGTATGGACTTTGACACATTTTAAAAATAATGTCAGAACCTTTTTTTCTTCAGAATTAAGATACCAATTTTTAAAAATAGATATTCCTATTGTGCATGCTCTAGACAAAGTAGAATAGGCAAATGAAATAAATATCCAAAATATTGTCTGGCTGGGTGCAGTGGCTCACACTTGTAATCCCAGTACTTTGGGGAGGTTTAGGTGGGAGGATCATTTGAGGTTAGGAGACTAGCCTAGTCAACATAGTGAGACCCTTTCTCTACAAAACATTTAAAACATTTTTAAAATATTTTTAAAATACATAAAATATTGTCTGAAGAATTTCAGTTCTTTCATTTTTTATAGAAAGTATAGTTTTATAAACTATAAAAAATATTTTTAAGTCATTTTCAACCTTTTAGTGTAGTGATTATCAAATGAGTCTTAAGTTTGTTTTTTCCACTTGATTGGTAGAAAATAAAATATGTTATTCATGAAAGGATTCTCATTCTGACCATTAGTTGTTAGAAAACCAATTAGCATGTTTATACAGTTGTGAATCCCAAATCTGAAAATTTTGAATCCAAAATACTCTGAAATCCAAAAGTTTTTGAGAACCCACATGATGCTCAAAGGAAATGCTCATTGGAGCATTTCAGAGTTCAGATTTTGGGATTTTAAGATTTAGGATGCCTGGCCAGCTGTGATGGCTCACTCCTGTAATCCTAGCACTTCGGGAGGCTGAGGCAGGCGGATCGCCTGAGGTCAGGAGTTCAAGACCAACCTGGCCAACATGACAAAACCCCGTCTCTACTAAAAATACAAAAATTAGCTGGGCATGGTGGCACACACCTGTAGTCCCAGCTACTCAGGAGGCTGAGACAGGAGAATTCCTTGAACACAGGAGGCGGAGGTTGCAGTGAGCTGAGATCTGGCCACTGCACTCCAGCCTAGGCGACAGATCGAGACTCCATCTCAAAAAGAAAAACAAGATTTAGGATGCTTAACTGGGAAGGTATGTGATACAAATATTTTAAAATCCAAAATCCAAAACATTTCTGGTTCCAAGCATTTCAGACAAGGGATGTTGGACCCGTATCTATATTTTTAAACAAGTGTCATTAAAGAAAGAGAACAGCATATTTATTATGATATAATATTATTATATGATATACATCTGTTTGTTCATCTAGAGTTAAGTCTTAGAAAAAAATTGTATAGTCTTATTAAACCGGATTTCAATCACCTTAATTCAAGTTACAAAGGCAAATCAGAAATAAATAGTCTATCAGTAAATTCAATATACTAAATGTCTCAAAAACCGTTGGGAAAGCAAAATGTTTGCCTTTTTGAGTAAATAAAAGAAGAACATAAAAACATTTAGGAAAGACTAAAATTATAACACGAGTTTGTTTTCAGCATTCTTATTGACCTTCAAGTCACTTATTAGTTTAAAAACATAAAGAGTATTTTAAACTTTTCTTCTATTAAATTATCATTGGATAGATTATTTTATTTATATATATGATATATAATATATATATATTTTTTTGTTTTTTTTTTTTTTTTGGAGACGGAGTTTCGCTGTTCACCAGGCCTGGAGTGTAGTGGCACGATCTCGGCCCTCACTGCAACCTCCATCTCCCGGATTCAAACAATTCTCCTGCCTCAGCCTCCTGAGTTGCTGGGATTACAGGTGCACGCCACCACTCCCAGCTAAATTTTTGTATTTTTAGTAGAGACGGGATTTTACCATATTGGCCAGGCTGGTCTCGAACTCCTGGCGTCAAGCAATCCTACCATCTTGGCCTCTGAAAGTGCTGGGACTACAGGTGTGAGCCACTGCGCCCAGCCCAAGATTGATATTTTAAATATTTATATACAGTATAACCAGGCAGTAAAATTAAAAACTTAGTCTTGACTGGGCATGGTGGCTTACGCCTGTAATCCCAGCACTTTGGGAGGCTAAAGCAGGCAGATTTCTTGAGCCCTGAAGTTCAAGCCCAGCCTGGACAACATAGCAAGACCCCATCTCTAAAAAGAAGAAAAATGTACTCTTTAGCATTTATTTTTAAGTTTTTTTATTTTGCTATAAATGTCTCTACAAGCAGCTGAACTTTAAGAATTATGACCTGTCTTGATCTTTGCCAAAGATTGGCAGAAACTCAGAAACAGAAGAAATCAGCACTGTAATAAAGTTTTAACCAGGTGGAGAGCTCATATCCAAGGTTACTTGGGTCTGAGTCTTCCCAGCAGAAAAAAAAAATAATAATAATAATAATAATAATAATAATTAATGCAAATAAAAAGAAAGTTTTAGCTAGGTGTGATGGCACACACATGCAGTTCCAGCTCCTCCGGAGGCTGAGGCAAGGGGGCTGCTTGAGTCCAGGAGGTCAAGGTTGCAGTGAACTATAATCAGCCATTGCACTCCAACCTGGGCAACAGAGCAAGACCATGTCTCAAAATAAAAAGTTAAGTTACTTTGAAAGTTTAGAGTCCTGCATGATGTTAATTGAGTTACCCACTTTTTCCCCTTAAGGAGCAGGTAAAAAAAATTTAACACATTATAAACAGATGTTGCCATGTAAAACTTGCTATGTTTTGTCATTTTCTCAACATTGATGGGTAACAGCTTGCTTCTTCCAATATTTCATTTTTATCATGATCTTCCAGAACTTATAAAACTTTTGAGTTTGTTTAAATTTTTTTAAAAGCTTTCCCTTGGCCAGGGGTGGTGGCTCTCACCTGTAATCCCAACACTTGGGGAGGCAAGATGGAAGGATTGCTTGAGCCCAGGAATTGAGACCAGCCTGGGCAACATGACGAGACCTCATCTCTACAAAAAATTTAAAAATTAGCCAGGTAGTCCCAACTACTCAGCAGGCTGAGGCAGGAGGATTGCGTGAGGCTGGGAAGTCAAGGCTATAGTAAGCTGTGTTTGTGCCACTGCACTCCAGCTGGGCAACAGAGCAATACCTTGTCTTAAAAAAAAAAAAATCTTTCTCTACATTGGTATGTGTCTTAATCTTTCCAAACTTAGGTTGTTTCTCCACACGCTTCAGAAAAAGGAATATCCAGAGGCAAGAGATTTAGGAGGAGAAGCCCAGATTGCGTTCTTTTTTTTTGAGTCTAGCTCGGTACCCATGCTGGAGTGCAGTGGTACCATCACAGTTCAGTGCAGCCTTGACCTTTCAGGTTCAAGCAGTCTTCCCACCTCAGCCTCTCAAGTAGCTGGGACTACAGGTGCACACCACCATGCCTAGCTAATTATTTTTTGTAGAGATGGAGTCTCCCTATGATAATCAAGCTGGTCTCAAACTGCTAGGCTTAAGGAGTCTTCCTGCCTTAGACTCCCAAAATGCTGGGATTACAGGCATGAGTCACCATGTACAACCAGACTGCATTCTTAAAGCACATGATGTTATAGTTGATAATGTCGTAAAATGATGTGTTACATGAAGCTCCACCTTTAAATCTTGGACCCAAGAAATGTGCAGCCTCTACTCATTCATTCTTTAAACATTTTTTTTTTTTTGATACTTGACTATGACCTAGGTTCTTTGTCAGCTGAGGACTTAAAAATGAGTAAGAGGAAAAAAATAAAACATGGTTCCTGTGGGACCCGAGGTCTCCACAGGGAGACAGACATGGATGGCCAGAATTTCAATATAATATAGCCTGCGTAATGCAGTGTATAAGGTACAGGACATCTTTGGAACAGAGAAGGTGGCAGTCCTCAGCCAGCCTGGGGCAGATAGGAAAAGCTTCCTTATGTCAGTGCCTTCTGACCAAAGCCCATCAGGAACACACTTACAGTTGAACAAGTTGAGTGTCTTGGTTCATTGCAGTGAGGAAGAAAGCACACCATGAAGGAGCATGAGGGCATCTCAGTGCAGAGTTGAGAGGAACTTGTTGCAGTTTAGACATGTATTAGATGACTTCGGGAAGGGTTTAAAGAATTAATGTTTTGCTCTGGATTTGATAATTCTATGATGAATTTTTATCTAGAAGGTGGGGGTAAAGCTGTGATTAGTAAGGGCACAGCAGTCACTCATATTAGCTAGGAGAGGAAGACGTTTGCGCGTTTTTTGTAGTTTATGGCATTCTTGTTTTTGTCTGTGCTCAAACATGACTGTGGAGTGGTTTTTTTCTTCTTCTTCTTTTTAGACACAGGGTCTCGCTCTGTCTCCCAGGCTGCCATGCAGTGGGGTGATATCGGCTCACTGTAAAGTGGTCTTATTTTTGTCATGCTCCAGCATGCTCATAGAGTGGCCTGGTTTCGGTTCAACAGGAGAACCCCAGGCCTATATGTTAGAACCAGGACAGTTTAGCTTACCACAGCCCAGGACTGCTTTTTTTCTTTCTTTCTTTCTTTTTTTTTCTTTTGAGACAGAGTTTTGCTCTTTTTGCCCAGGCTGAAGTGCAATTGTGCAATCTCAGCTCACTGCAACCTCCGCCTTCCAGGTTCAAGTGACTCTCCTGCCTCAGCCTCCTGAGTAGCCGGGATAACAGGTGTGCACCACCACGCCCAGCTAATCTTGTATTTTTAGTAGAGACTAAAAATGGTTTCTCCATGTTGGTCAGGCTGGTCTCAAACTCCTGACCTCAGATGATCTGCCCGCCTTCATCTCCCAAAGTGCTGGGATTACAGGCGGGAGCCACCACATCCAGCCTGACTGCTTTTTTCTTTCTCACTTTCCTGAGAGAAAGAGTGATATCTTCCAGAGAAAGTGACACCTTCTAGGAAGTGTGGCTGTTGAGTGTTGCTCTCCTGCGTAAGGCAAAGGCAAAAAACGTCAGGAGGAGGAAGCAGGTGGAAGTCAGGTCATGGAGGGTCCTCTGTGCCTCACTAAGGAGCTTAGCCTTTATCCTTTAGGCACTGGGATGCCATGAAGTATCTGTAAGCTGGAAGTGACAGAATCAGGTTTGCATTCTAGATAGCTTATGCTGGCAGTCATGTCGAAGGAGATCTGAGCTGGACAAGCAAGAGTTGCAGTTAGAATGTTTTCTCAGTTATCCAACCAAGACAAAGTCAGTACTTATAGGTAGAAATGTGATTTCATTCTTACAATAAGTGGATTTTACAATTATGACAGCATATATAGTTCTAATTCTGATTCAGAAATGTCT